CAAACAAGGCAAATAGTCTTTGAAGAGGGATTGAGCAGAGCACTACGTGAAGTGCTAATGACATGCACAAATAAAAACAAAGAATACTTGTCAGGCTCAAGGCTCTGATACATGTATCTTTATGTTGGTTTTTCTTTTTTCTTTGCAAAATCTATGTACTACGTGACAGAATATAATATTTGATTGAATATAATATTTCCTACCATCATTGTTTATCTTATTACCATGTATAGTTGTTACATTGTAATCTACTTACCATGTATAGTTGTTACCTAATAGGTCTCTACCTGTGAGATCTATAAATACTCTTGTATTCTCCTTATATCAATTCAATTCAAAAATTATATTCTTCCTTTTATCTCTTCATGGTATCAGAGGCTCAAAGATCTGAGACCTAACCCTATCTCCTTTCCCTGTTCTCCCGATCAGTTAGCCGCCAACCCTCCTTTCTCTTTCTCCATGTCGACCGACAACGAAACTTCTTCCACCACCGCTGCACTAATATTATATTCTGTCACTACGTTCTTTCTTATAACTGTTACAAATCGATGTGTTGATTCCTCGGCATCTCGGATTCTCTGAACCCTGCACAACTTTATTTGTTACTGTGAAAGGTACTTCTATTTCTCTTTTGAGAGGGGCATTCATCTTGAATCTTCAAGGAATACGAGGGTTTTCCAAGAGCAACAATACAGTGGAACGGAACCAGAAATTTTTTTTACTGTGCGGCCATATAGTCAAATTATACATGGTGAGAGCAGAGATTTTTAGGATTTTTTTTTAAACTTTGTGTATATTAGGCCCTTACATCTTTCATATTTTGACTTGGTCCCTCAAATTATTTAAATTGCTATTAGATCCCTTAAATTTTTTTATTTATTGAAATTAATCCATTCAATCAAGAGTAAAATTAGTCATTAGAGAGATTAATTTAAAAAAAAAACTTATGAGGATGTAGGAACCTGCGAACAATTTTAATGAATCGAGGGACTAATCTCCCGAGAATTGCTACTTTCACACTTGCTTTGAGGGATTAATTTCAAACTAACTTAAGAATTGGGCAACTAATAGCAATTTCAATTATTTGAGGGACTAATTTCTAAGTAACCCATGAACTGGGGAATCTCATAGCAATTTAATTATTTGAGGGATTAATTGAAAAATATGAAAGATGCAACGGCCTAATATCTTAACAAGGCCTTTTTTTTTTTGCTCAAATCGCGGGCCCATTGCAATCTGCAGATGAATGTATGGAGTTATATATACTTTTGATAGATATTGAGCTTGGATTTGGGTATATTTGAGCCTTTTACCAATCTCTTATTTTTTCCTATAAAAAAATTATTATTATTTTTGGAATGTGCGGGGAGGCACGTGCCCCAAGTGCCCCCACTATCTGTATATCCGCCCTTTTATACACAACAATTTCTCTAGAAGTCATTGTGGCTCTTGGATGCCTGTCCCTCCATAATTTGATAAAGGGTAAGTTGCACATACACCCTCTGTAGTTTCGTGTTTTGCAACTTTAAACACATAGACCACCCTGGTGAAATCTATAGGTAGAAACAATAAGTTTCGAAGTGCTCCTACCGGCTTCTGTGTGCAATTAACTCCTTCATAAATAGGGACAGCTGAAACATGCGCCTTTAAAAGACAGACATGCTACCATCTTATAGATATCCAAATAAGGGTTAATTTCAGAAAATACCTTAACTTTTGGTGTTTTACAGATGAACCACTTAAAAATTTATGTTCAGAAAAAACCCCCAAATTTTGAGGGTTTTACATCTAACCCCCTTCCCATGTGTCACGTCCCTTGGCGTGAGCCCCCCCAAAAAAAAGAAAAAAGAAAAAAGAAAAAAGAAAAAAGAAAAAGAAAAAGAAAAAGCCTTGAGCCCTCTTTTATCCTTTTTATTATTCCCATTAACTGGAATCACAAATGATGCAGTATGATCTGGAGTCTCCACCCAACGTGGAGTAGCATCATTCTCCACCCACTGCGATGTCCCAAATATCTGATCATCACTCTCCACCTGCCGAGAGTCAAACGTGACATACCTGCTCAGAACAAAGTCAGAAGCCAATACCTGATAATCAAACACGCCTCTGACTCCAAAATGTGCTATCGGATCAAATCTCACATCCACGATATGACCAAGTGTTGGGTAGGCAAACATCCGACGCAACCCAAAATCTGAAGCAGCTCCACCAGATCTAAAATCTCTACATGCAGCAGTCGGCAACCTATGCATAAGATGGCCCAAACATGTCGTAGCCCGCACACCAATGGCAATGCTCGACATCAAACGTCGATCCTCCTCCAGCAAGGAACAGCTCCCCAAATCTGCCATCTCATCACGTCGCCTCAAAGTTTCCACACCAATGAAGTGTCTCCAATTGCCGTGAGCTCGACACAAACGCAAGAAAGAACCCCTACCATAATCAGAATGTCGGGTTACCTTTCTATCAACACACTTTCTCCATCTGTTACGGGCTTCTAGGACTTCACACCAACGGGACTTGGTTGTAACCCACTAATGCCTAGAACAATCCCCAACTACGAAAACCACATACCTATTACCTTCCAATAATGCTCTCTTGGTAGGCCCCCAAATGCTTGAATGAACACCCCTCAGAAGACCCCTCGAATGATGGATAGAAGTGCCAAACTCCATCCCGTTCTTCTTGCTCATACCAATGGGTTCACAGGACTTCAAACTGCAGGTCAAAACACTCCTCAACAACCTATGCACGACATTACCAATCAAATAACCCAGCATCAAACAACACTATAGTCTAGCCGAATCTGATGAAGTCGTCAGCTCCCTATCAATCACCGTGCTTCCGAGCAAATAATACAAATTGCTCCTTCTGACGCCCTTCATCACAATCATGGACCCCAATGTGACATTCAAACGTGCATCCACCAAGGTCACCCTATAGTCTGCTGCCTCCAAAGCTCCAAGTGAAATGATGTTCATCTTTAATTGTGGAACGAACCTCACTTCATCCAACTCTCGCATCATCCCGTCACTCATCCTAATCCAAATAGTACCAATACCACCAATAGAGCATGCATGTCCATTACCCATGAGCACGACATCCTCTCTTTCCAACTCCTGAAAACTAGAGAACAAATCCCTCCTAGGACAAACGTAGTAAGAAGCATCTGAATCCAACATCCACTCTGTAGAGTCGGCATCACAAACTGATGGTAGTGCAGATAATGAATAGCCTGAAGAAACTGAATCTGAATTGTTATCACTAGTCTTGATAACATTCACCTCTGAAGCTTGTACAACTTTTCCCTTATTCTTCTTAGCTCGATCTAACTTTGGGCATTCAACTTTTTAATGTCCATCATCTTTACAAAAAAACATATTGATTCCTACGAATCCCATGATGTATACCTCTAGACTGCGACCTCCTGCTTCGGTTTGAACCACGGCCTTGAACTACTAATGCATCTCCCGATGCCTTCTCGGAGGACTCATCAACACTCTTCCTCAACTCATAATTCATCAAAACTGAGGTCACCTCCTTGTAGATAATAGTAGTTCTTCCATTAATCATAGTGAGAACAAATGTGCCATAATCATCCTTAGGCAATGAACACAAAAGTAGCATCGCCTTATCTTCATCCTCAACCATGAATATCCACATTGGTCATGTCTGAAAGTAGCTTCGTGAAGTTGTTAATATGCTCCCTGATGGAAACTCCCCTCTTCATCTTTAACTGGTAAAACATCTTATTCAAGTGAAGTCGATTCTCAATGCTCTTCGTAAGATACTTCTCATTGAGTGTTTCCCACATTCTCTTCGCCGACGTCTCGTTCATCACATCATAAATAAGATCCGGCGTCAAGCATGACCGAATAACTTCACACGCCTTACTATTCATCTTCTTCCAAATCTTTTCTTCCATATTAGCAGGTTTCTCTTACAACTCAAGAGTCTCTTCCAAGTTTTGAGCGTCCAACGCATCCATCACTTGACACCTCCACAATCCGAAATTGATCTTGTCGTCGAACTTCAAAACATCAATCTTCGTGTTATTGATGCTCAAACTATGTATCGTCTTCGTAAGAGACGAACTTGATGTGCTTGATTCTCCCATGTTGTCGATTTAACTCTTCAAATAAGAATCCAACAGCGAATCCTTCGAACAAGCTCCCAAGTCCAACTCGGAGCTCTGATACCAATTGTTGTGCGCGGCGGAAGCTTCGAGGCGATACGAACAATAACTCGAGATAAATCATAACCACTAAGAAAATCACAATCACAGTAAGAACAAACTATTTACGTGGTTCGGCAAGTTACCTACGTCCACGGGGCAAGGAGAGGGGAGTTCTTACTATTAGAAATCAAGATAATACAAATAGAGTTGCAAATCTTACCGATCAAACCCTAAAACAAAGCTCTAGATCTCTCACAAATCTCCCACAATTGGATGCATCAATCCTCTCCAAAAGACTGCTCAAAATCGTCCTTGCTTAACCCTAACTAATCAGGATTAGAGTTATATATCAGCTCCAAAACGAACCGGGTTGAAAACCTAAAGCCCAGCCCAAACAGCCTGCGGTCGACCGCGCAAGTATCACGGTCGACCGAACACTCCCGACAGAGAACAAATCGGCTACAGGAAACTCACGGTCGATCGCGGCGGTCGACCGAACCAAACGACAGAGCCCAAAAATCCTACAGGGTCCACGCGGTCGACCGTGGCGGTCGACCGCCTTCAGCTCCCAGCTCTTCCTGACCTTTGTGCATGTTCTCGGTCGACCGCCGCTGACTCGCGGTCGACCGCCAGTCTGTCTGGCTGGATTTCTAGGTTGTTTTCTTCAGCTGTTTGCCAATTCTTCAGGTTATTGTTGTTTGATTATCACTGAATACCCTCATTACTTTGTTGAACCACTACTCATCGGTTAGAAACATAAGAATGTAGCACTGCTACGCTCAAACTTAAAAAGAAACATATTCAATCAATATTCATACCCATAAAAGTCATATTACAAATTTTCAACCATTTGTCAGCGAAGACATAAAAATTCCATTGCCGTTATATTCAAGTCCCAACAACTTTATTCAAGAAATGGGTAATCTTTATATCCAAAAACAGGGTCAGAGAACCCATATCACAGAAATCTAACAAGTCTGTTCAAGAAATGGGTAATCTGTGTATCCAACAACAGGATCATGAGTATAAAAGGCAGACCTATCGTACTCATTCAAGTCAGCATTCAACTCAAATCTCTTAGGCAAGTCAGGGTTAGATAAAAACAACCTCCCATAAGCCACGAGATCAGTATACCCCTCAGCCACCACCTTGTTCCCCTCCTCCCTATCATAACCTCCGGCGGCGATGAAAGTTCCGGAAAAAGCCTCCCTCATTGGAAATACTCGATGAGGAATCTGGTACCGGCCCTCAACAACACACATCCTTGGCTCAACGACATGACAGTATACAATACCGTATTTGTTCAGTGAGTTAACCATGTAGAGTCCTAGAGCTTCAGGGTCAGAGTCATAGCAATCTTCGTAGTCTGAAAAGGGCGAAAGCCTGATCCCCACTCGATCAGATCCTATCTCGTCGGCAACGGCTTCGACTACTTCTAGAGCGAAGCGACAGCGGTTTTCTAGGGTACCACCGTATTTATCTGCTCGATCGTTGACACTGTCTTTCATGAACTGTTCGATGAGGTAGCCGTGGGCACCATGAATCTCCACTCCATCGAAACCTGTATTTTTTCATGATGCAAGGTTTTGGTGTTGTCTCGTATGCTGCAAATGTAAATGCAATAAACATTGCATACATAAAAAGCTACATGCAACATTTGTTGCAGAAAATGCTGAATTTTTTCCCCCAATAGTTGAAAATCCGAATACCATTTTCAATTATCGTGTTGGTAACCAAACATTGGAAATAGAAATTTTACTGCAACAGTTGCTGCTGTGACTCTATTTCCTGTCAACTGAACAACCACGTAGTTTTGACAAGTGAAGAACTGAGTTGCTGAACTTACCAGCTTCAATGGCGTTTTTTGCAGCTATTCTGAAATCGTCGATGACTTGAGGGATCTCATCAATTGTTAAGCGTCTTGGAGGGGAGTATTCTTTGATGATATCATCATACAAGACTGTAGGTGATGGTGGCTTGTCTGTGCAGGAGATTGGAGCTTGGCCATTTGGTTGATAGCCTACAGGACAAACATTTACCTGTACGCTTAGAAACATATGATCTATTCTTAGGTAAATTGCTCATATGTAACCTGTATCCTCCTAATTTACAGTTTACACGTGTACAAAAATTCTCTTTTCTTCCCAAGGGGTCGATGTGAAATTTCACTCAGGGGTCTATCAGAAAAAATGAAACCACAGGGGTAGTTAAGTTCCAAAGTGAAATAAATGCAGGGGGTCTATATATGGGCAACTAACACCTAAATATATGGAAGAAAGAAACGATATATACCATAATCTGAAACTCTCCCTGTATGCCAAATTTGACAGAAGAAGATCCCACCCTTATCATGCACAGCGTCCACAATTGGTTTCCAAGCCTCAACTTGCTCCTTGGTCCAAATACCTGGAGTATGAGGGTAGCCTCTAGCAGTCTCTGAAATGGCTGTTGCTTCACTAATGAGAAGACCCCCCTCTGTAGTTCTCTGAGAGTAGTATAATATTGCATGTGGTTGAGGCACGTTATCATACGATCTTAATCTTCCCAATGGCGCCAAAACCATCCTGAAATTCTCAAATTTAGTCTAGCGTACGAAATTATAGTATCGGCGGAAATGAAACCTTTAACGTGGAATCAGAGCAACACCGATTCAAATCCCATCAACGAGGAATTTAAAAACTATTTAACTCAGTGAGGCAATGGTAATCACAAGTCGAACTTGGACATGGAAATAAACTTTGGAACTTCAAGATGACTCTCCCTTGTGGATTATAGTTTTTAACTTAGCCTAACTATGGTAGATACGTCATTTAGGAAAAAAAAACATTAGTCTCTTGTTTCCATTCGAGCAATTTATCCGTTTCACACAAAGATAAGAGAAAAGTTTACATGTGTTCTATTTATCACAGTATAGTCCTAATATATATCATCCGACCAGTAAACGGGTTTGGATCTTCTCCGCTTCAAAAAAAGTAGTGAAGAGATCAATACTTTTGATAAGAACGGTTAACTATCTAGTGTGTGGTTGAGATTTTTTCTAATCTAACACTCACCGTATCCCATGAAATGTAGTAATTCCTAAATTTCACTCACCGTATCCCATGAATTTTAAAGGCCAACAAAAAAAATGCAAAATAATTTAGGAAAAAATAGAACCTCAGATGTAAATAATATTCAGAGGCTAACCTGTGAGAGAGATTGAATCTGCCCATCTCGAGTGGAGTAAGCAGTGGCATTTTTTCCATCTCTCTCTCTCTCTCTCTCTCTCTCTCTCCCCCCAGCCTCTTTCTGTATGCGAGGATGAGTTGTTCTTCTATTTAACTAGTGGCAGCCTCCCCTTTTCTTTTTCATTTTTTTAAAGCATAAAACGCGGGCTACGTTAATATTCAGGTGCTTCTACGAAGCTAAGGCTGCCTTTGAACGTGAGAATCAAATTCAAGGTTGAACTCTTTCTTTCCACTTCGCACGTGCATGCTATACTAAATATTGTAAATTCAACTACGCCGACCTATTTCAGCTCTTAAGGCGACGGACAAAAGAAGACAGAAGATATCCGACGGTCGAAAGAATCGTAAAACAGCCGCCACGGTCGAAAGAATCGTAAGACAGAAGATATCCAAACGTCGAAAGAATCGTAAAACAGCCGCAGGACCGCCGACGGTCATGGGACGGTGCGGTGGCCGCTGGGCGGTCTACGTTGACGGCCCGCAGGCTGAACTGAGTCAAACCCTGTTTGGGTCGGTTTTGGATTGATTTTCTTTGGGAATTATTTTGCATTCGAGATTCTACTTTATCAATATATAGAGTTGTTCCTGGGGTTTAGGAATTTAAAATAAAAAAAGCTTGGAAGAGTTGCATATTCTAAAAGAGAGAGGTAGAGGGAACTAATTAATGAGAGAAATATGGAGTTTTTCGAGAGATGTACTTACTTCTATACAGATGGAGAAGTCTGATTATATATGATTCGGACAAATTTTCAAAACCGACCACTTTGGGATTTTAATTGCAAAAAACGACCCATTTCAATCTTATTTATAAAAACCGACCCAGTTGGTTGAAACTGGGTCGGTTTTTTAAAAAAAAATTCTCAAACTTCACAGGAGTTCAACTCCCGTGAAGTTTTGTTATGAGAAAAACTTCACGGGAGTTCAACTCCCGTGAAGTTTCCCAAAAAAAAATTACAAAAACCGACCTGTTTTCAGCCCCTGGCTGAAAATAGGTCGGTTTTTGTAAATATTTTCAAAACCGGTCGTTTTTTGCAATTAAAAACCCAAAAGGGTCGGTTTTGAAAATTTGTCCTATATGATTCCCTTGATCTGAAAGTGGTCCTATATGGTATAAAATACAATTATAAGGTTAATATCAATTCTATTTAAATCTAACTCATATCAGAGGTTAATACCTCTGAATTCATGGCCCATATAAATCTAAACTTATTTAGGATCTTAATTATTTAACATTTTCAAAACACTTTTTCATTGATTTTCGACTCATAATGAGTTTCTGGAATTCAAAGTCTGGGCTAAATTATCCATTTCTTTACCACTATGCTACGTTATTTCTAAATTCTGAGAATTCCAGGGCCTGACATAAAAATATTGTTGTTATTAATATTAAGGGGGTTTAGATATTCCTCCTTCAAATCACCCATAATTATAAAACATTAGGATTTTATGAACAGATAAATCTTAGCACATGTTTCACTTTTGCACGAGAAAGACAAAGTTGATGTTATGGTGTTTTCAGTCATCAAAGTACGGTCATTTGTTAGGAACAGACAGATGTCCCCCTGCATGCACCGCTCAAGTCAGATTGACGGTCAAAACAACAAAGGATCCTGGCGTAACCGACCCGTCGAGTCGACATCTTCTTATGTTGATACGAATGGCGATACTTGTCGATACTCTTTTTGAAGACGACTCGTAGCGAGTCCACTCGGCTAGTTACTCGACGCCTCACGGGATCGACTCGAAAGGCGTTGCTTCTCGACGAAGCTAAAGGACGACTTCATCTGACAAACATCCAATGGAACTACGTCGCACGTGACCTCGTCAATACACGACTCATGGAGCGCAAATCTGACAGTGTATTGATCAACTACACTTAGTCCCGTCTCCTTTTGAATCCACCCTAATGGATAGAGTTTCAGATTCTTGACTGTCTTCAGACACAGCTTCTGAACCAAGGCCTCGGATATCAAATTCTTCTCGCTGCCCGGATCAACTATGGCATCAACCAAACTGGTTTTTACTTGCAACTTAAGCACAAAGAGTTGCTCTCTCGGGTCGTCATCCTCCTTCGTGGCCTGTCTCTCTGCCATAAGGTTGAGACTGATGTTGGGCTTTGTTATCCCCGAGACTTCTTTCGGACCTTGAGCTATCACATATGTCTTTTTCTCCTCCTCCTTCTTTAATCCTCTTGGCTTGAGATGAGGATACTTCTCCCAGCACCGATCAGCAACATGCCATGTCTTCTCGTAGTGACTATAAATCAGTTCTGCTTTCCCTGGATTACCCTTATTCTCCTCCTTATGTTTGGAACCACTAGACTCGCCTCCCGTCTGTTTGGAGTCTCCCTTAGTCTCGTTGCCCTTCTTCTACTTGCCCTTAATTACAATAGCCTTCACGCTCGCCTCTGCAATAGTCTCGACCGTGAATAACTTCATCTTCTTCCGGATGTAATCGCTCAATCCTGCCATATACTTTATAAACACAGAATATTCCTCTGTCGTAATATTGAGGACCATCGCCTGTTGCTGGAACTCCGTGGTGTATTCTTGAACGGTTTGATTGACTCTTTAGCGTAAGCCGTACCACTTGTACCAACGCTCTTCAAGGAATCACATCGGGTAGAACTGCTTCCTCAATAACTCCTTGAACTTATTCCACGACACCGCCTTCTTCTCCTGCTTGCAGTAGGATTTCCACCACGTCAACGCATGCCCTGAAAGCTTCAAAGTCACGAACATAATCTTTTCCTTGGGCGAATATCCGTAGAGAGTGAAATACATCTCCATACGTTCGATCCAATTATCGATTTTCTTCACATTAACACTCCCATCATAAACAAGAATCTTCACCTTGAAGTTAATTTTTAGGTTCTGGTAAGAATTCTTACCCCCTTGATGCAACGCAACCTTAACGGTCTCCTCCTCCTCATCGGGATCTGAATCCACTCTCTCCACATCGGATTTCATAATTTTTTTCTTAGACTTTGAAGAAGATTCACCTTGTTTATCACCTCCATTGATAAGACTGACGAGTTGTGTGAGAGTAGATCCTATCGTCTCGATCTGTTTCTAACAAATTGCCTGACAATACCCCGGAGGTACCGAAGAATCCGTAATAAGACAACATAGTGTACAGAACGTGGAGCACTAACAAATTGCCTGACAATACCAACAACATGAGAGATATCTGGTCGAGAGATGCACAAATAGACTAACTGGCCAACAAGATGTTGATATCGGGTAGGATCAGATAGAGGCTCACCGTCAGTAGAGCAAAGTTTGACATTCTGCTGGAGTGGAGTATCGACAGTTGTATTATCAGTTAGCTCAGCTTGATTTAGAATATCTGAGAGATACTTCTGTTGAGACAGTAATACACCCCGCGGGCCTTGAGAAATTTCTAGACCAAGAAAATACCGAAGAGATCCAAGATCCTTCATGTGGAACTGTTGTTGCAACTGAGATTTTGCGTATTGTATACCTATCATATCATCACCTGTAATGATCATATCATCTACATAGATGAGTAATAAAACCCTGCCACGCGATGTAGTGCGAACAAACAGAGAAGCATCTTGATGACTTTCTATAAAGCCCGCTTTGAGCACGACATCGCGAAAACACTCAAACCAAGCGTGGGGTGCCTGCTTGAGACCATAAACAGCACGGCGAAGGCGACATACATGTCCCGGAGGAATATTTGATCCTGGAGGCGGTTGCATATATACGGTCTCTGATAAAGAGCCATGAAGAAAAGTATTTTTAACATCCATCTGGTATAAGGGCCAATGATGAGCAGCAGCGACCGCAAGGAGAGTACGAATAGTGGGCATTTGAGCAACAGGAGCAAATGTCTCCTCATAATCAATACCTTGTTGCTGAGTAAAACCTCGAGCCACTAAACGAGCTTTTCGACGTTCAATGGTGCCATCAGGACGAAACTTGACCTTATAAACCCATTTACTGCCAACAAGAGAGATCACATGAGGACATGGAACAACATCCCAGGTATGAGTTTGTTGAAAGGCTTGAAATTCCTCAGCCATAGCCTGTCGCCACTCTGGAATTTGAACTGCCTATTGGAAGGACTTTGGCTCAACAATAGTATGAATGGCAGCAAGAAAGTTATGAAAGATAGGTGAATAAGAAGTAACAGAAGCATATCGGGCAGGCATGACATGTGGGCGTTTGCCTCGACGAAGAGCAAGAGGAACCTTAGGCGGGGGAGATGCTGGCGCAGGTGCGTGAAGATCAACAGTATTTTCTAGAGTGAGAGTTGTGTCCACGGGATATGGATTAGATGGTGTAAGAGAAGACTCGGGTGAGGAAGAGTCAACAGAAGGAGAGGGAGAGATGTTAGGGAGATCTCGAAAGGAAAATTGAGGTGAAGAAGTGGGTGATGCAGTTGACGGGGAAGCATGATCAGTAGAGTGGAGGAAATTAAAGTCATCAGAAGCAGAATAATATGGAGAATCCTCTTCGAACTGAACATGACGAGATATATGAACTCGACGAGTTGCGGGATCATAACAACGATAACCTCGATGTTCTGAACTAATTCCTAAATAAACACAAGAAACTGCTCTGGGAGACAATTTATCACGTTCGTGAGATGGCAGAAAAACAAAACATCGACAACCAAAAACGCGAACTAGATCATAACGGGGAGGATGAGTATAAACACGACTATAAGGAGTAGCACCGGAAAGAGAGCTAGATGGAGTGATATTAATGGCATGAGTCGCGGTGAGAATAGCCTCAGCCCAGAAACGACGAGGAACAGAGTAAGAAATGAGCATTGATCGGGCAGTATCGAGGATATGACGATGTTTGCGTTCAGCAACACCATTTTGCTCATGAGTGTAGGGACATGACTGTTGAAAGATAGTCCCATGAGAGGACATGATAGAGCGCATGGCAGAGGATAGGTACTCTTTGGCACAATCAGAACGAAAAACTTTAATACGAGATTGCCATTGAGTGAAAATCATAGCAGTGAAGGCTTGATAAGCAGTAAGTACGTCAGAGCG